AATATCTGGACTTTTTAATTCAAGAACCAAAAGTAATTGCCAAGTCATCAATCACCATTGACGTTAAACCAGTAAGTGAAATACTTGTCATGTGAAGGTTTTTTGTGCTGTTAGTAACCCTAAGAGTATTCTTGAGGTTTGTGGGMCTTGAATTTAACTTATGTTTTAACTCTTTCAAAATTACAAGAATTACAAGTTTGGTTGTTATTGTTGATCTTCCTTCCATCTCCCCACCCCTCCCCCCTGCAGGGAAAGATTTCCAATGGCTTTCCCACATTAGCATTTACATCTCAGCTGAGGTTTTTATGTAAGGCCCGTTTCATACCTCGATCTTTTGCCGCATCTAATCTAATTACCGTATTTACCCATGTATAAGCCGCACTTTTTTTCCAAAAAAATCGTTCCCAAATCGGTAATTACATGCAGTTCTTTAGAAGTTTGCAGTCTACATCGATTAATATTTACAGATTATAGTAAGTTCATCCAACTGAACAAAATCTGCTAATGTCAATAAATTCAGAGTACAAAATGCTCATAAACTCAACTCCACCAATTAGATTAGACTCGACAAAAGATCGACATCTGAAACGGGCCTAATATATAAAATATGAGTGGGAAATCTTTATGGGCATTTAAAACTGTGAGCTGCAGTTTTATAGCCCATAAAGGTCGAACGTGAATATTTTATATTGCTTATCAAATTCCAATATAAGGTAAAGCATATTTGGAAAAAAATTCAGCATAAAATATCATTTGTAAGAGAAAATCAAAGTTAAAGTCGTATGCAAATTAGGACAAATCTTTTGCTCATATAAAGAGCAAAAGGCAGTGATTTTCAATTGTGTTTACCTTATGAATTATTAATGAATTTGATAACTGTTTTTATTAACTGTTTTTTCTTTATTTTCATTGTACTTATAAAGTGGGACGATGAAACAGGTTAGTTTGACTGCACATCACTAAACTTTAACCAGCAAAATAATCATGTGAGCTCACAGCTTGCCCCTAAATCAACACTACTCAAGATATGGAGGACTGCACCCAGAAATTGTGAAGTTTATTAACAAAACTTTTCTTGACAAAAATAATGCATGTTTTTAATCTTTGATTTATTTTTTTTATGGTTAGATGTTAAAGAAATGGAAAAACTTGTACGTTCAATCACTGCTGATGGGCTTGTGTGGGGAGCAGGTAAGTATGAGTGAAACTGCTGTATTTTGAATAATTTGCACCAAGATAGAATTCAGGGGCTTTTCTCAATGTATACAACACAGTGTTACCAAAGGGTTAGGTTTAGGGTAACACAGATCACAGATCAGAATCTTCGTTCTCTTGGCCAGCGCCGAAAACGTAAGAAGTCTAGTGTTGGTACCCTAGTGTTTTTTGACGGCGCTGGCCAAGAAAAACGTAGGCTCGGGGTACGAGATTGGGTAAGGGATAGGGTTAGGTTATATTGAGGTATATAGAGCATATAAATGAGTGTTGTATACATTGAGAAAGAGCTGAATTCAGCTCTTACAGTTAATGACAATGCATGCCATGTGTAGACAAGTAGCCTAGTACTGCATACGATCCTTTTCTTTTCTTTCTCTTCTTGGGCTTCCTGTTTTCCTTAAACTGTAACTAGGGGATACCAGATAGAATGCGTCACATACGGACAAACTACGGTTAAGTCACTGTGGTTTGTCCAGATGTGACGCAGGCTAATACCAGAGGAATCCCTTTACATCCAAAGGGAATTTTCTTTAACGTTGGATTTTCAAGTCAAATTGTCAAAGTAATTGAAATTTTGTGTTTTTTTTTTTTTTCAGCCAAAATCCTACCAATAGCTTATGGTATTATGAAGCTGCAAATCGCTTGTGTTGTGGAAGATGACAAAATTGGAACTGACTTCTTAGAGGAAAGTATTGGTGCATTTGAGGATCATGTAAGTTTGAGTTTGAATTTGTTTATTCACAAATTTTTAATTGATTTGGACATAGTTAACTATGATTTGGAGTTGACACTTGAAAGTCTTAGAGCGTTTGCGTTCGTTTGTTGTTGTTTAACTCTGCAGTCGTTGAAAGTTGCTTTGTGATTGGTTGTGAAATGTATTCCGCAAGGACGTGAGATGAAAAACGTTTGCAAAAACAAAATGGCAACAGATTATCGATAAGGTTCCCATGATGGCGTGTGACAAAAGCGCGCAAAGGTTCTTGGGTGTACACAAGCCTTTAACATTTTATATTGAATTTTTTTTCAGGTCCAAAGTGTTGACGTGGTRTCATTCAACAAGCTCTAAGCTCCAGAGAATTATAATTTAATAATTGTTAAATAAACAGGATATGAACTTGTATTGCACTTGTCTATCATTTGGTTCTCAACAAAACAAAAGGTCCTGTTTTCCCTTGTATTCCTCGCCCGGTCGTAGTTCACCTCGACTAACTATGGCCTGGTAGACCTCGTCGTGATGTTACTCTAAACTCTCTAATTCCACACACATTTTAAAACTATTTTGCAAAGTGAGCGAATTCTGTGTGTGACATAAATCAAGGAATGTGAGATATTCAGTGGCGAATTTCACTATCGTAAACRTGATAAATTTATCCATGCAAGAGTAAATCAAGTGCTTATGGCTAAAAGTAAAGGTATAAACCTGAAGGAGGGGGGTGTACTCCCCTATATTTGCTATACGGGTATGTGCTGCTCGATAGGGTCCCTTTTTCGGAGCTCCAAGTCCTAGGGTATCATTTTTGGCCCATTTGTCTGGGATAGGGTAGTCTTTTTGTCTGAGATAGGATAGTAGACCGTAGTAGTGTTGTCTGGGACAGGGTAGTCTTTTTGTCTGGGATAGGGTAGTAGTTTTGTCTGGGATAGGGTAGCAGTTTTGTCTGGGATAGGGTAGTCTTTTTGTCTGGGATAGGGTAGTAGTTTTGTCTGGGATAGGGTAGAAGTTTTGTCTGGGATAGGGTGTTTTCGTTTGTCTAAGATAGGGTATAGTCTCATTGTCTGGGGTAGGGTGGAGTTTTACCTGTGACTCGTATCTGCTAGGCCACACTTTCAGCGCTACAATATTGTATCTTTGTTCTTTAGTCTTTAGGGAAGGGTATGTATAATCAATGTTTTTTCTGGGATAAGGTATAAGGGTTTTGAGGGTCGCGTGTGGCACACCGCCACCCAAGTTGGGGAGGTTGTACCCCTTCCGGGTTGTGCGTCTGTGTCTCCTGATGACTCCTGATCGGTTCTTGTTTCTGACGAATAATCGGCGGTGGGTGAGTTCAGCCTAGAGAACTGCATTCCAYCGATTCCTTTCCAGTAACCAGTGTAAAATTGTAAATCATTGTACATGTATACCAATWAATGCGAARTCAAGGAACATGTTTTTCGTGTGCCCTGATGAAGGAATACGTTTAGGGGTGCGTTCAGCTCGTGTCGCATAGATCTGGCATCAGTTTCAGTAATCAAGAATCGGCTTTACGTGATGCCATCCAATCATTGCCTTCGTCTTACTCACAAAACGCGCTCACATAGTCAAGCAGTTACTATATTCTAGATATGTTCATGTCCATGTCAGAGGTCTTATGCGCAAGGGCGGATCCAGCCAGAAATTCAGGGGGGGCTGTGATCTAAGAGAGGCTTTTTTTTCGGTTTTGCTTTTGATCAGTGCTATTTGCTATTATTGTTTTGTTTCTTTTATTATTATATTTTCTGAAGTCGAGGAGGGGGGGGGCTACAGCCCCCTTTTGACCACCCCTGGATCCGCCCTTGATGCGTTCTACGCAAAGTCAATGGCACGGAGCAGAAACTACGTTATCAGTGGCGTGAGGGTACAGRGAGGGGTGTTGGACACTCGGGACGGGATGCGCTCCATGAAAAGATCGCAAAGGATCCAAATTTTATTAGGGAACGTATTGAAGAACTTGCATCGCCTTCACTCCTGAACCAGCCAAGGCCGATTTTATACAGTGGAAGAAATGATTAATGGCAATTGATTTTCAAAATTTGGATAATATAAATGAAAAAAAAAGAAAAATATAGAAAGAAAGACAAGAAAACTAACCTATTAAAAAAAGAGAAAAGAGAAAAGCAAGTCTGCTGGGGTTCGAACCATTGACCATAAAATCGAAAAAGGTTGGGACGATTCCCCCGAGACATTCTGTGAAGCTGAGGCGGCGAATCGATTTACATTCCGGTTAGAGATTTCGGCTCTTCCATGCTATCCCGATAATTGGTCCTAACTTCGCGCTAACTAAAAAGCCAGTGAGGGAGAAGCTATCCGGCCCCTAGACWCTGATGGATAACCCCTTGCACTAACCAGGCAACTATCGAAARTATAATGTCAAATTGGGGTAGTCTATTCGGCGAAAGTGTCAAGTGGTCTATTATTATGTAAATGAGCGTGGTCCTGTGGCGCGTGTTGTTAAAGTGGTTTGCTACAAATCCGATGTTGGAGTGATGGTAGTGGGTTCGAATCCTGGGATTGTACTCGTTCGACAAATCGCTATATATTTTCTTTTGTTGTTTTCGTTTAATGTTTGTTTTAATATCTTTTCTTTTTACAGCATTTTTTTAATTGGCATTATTTGTATTCATAACATAAATCAAAATATTTTTTTCCAAATCCCAAATTTTAATGCCCATCTTACCCACCCCTCCCTAGCAATAATATACCGCTGTAGTAACGCGGGCTCTTAATGTCATCGTGTGTTGATGCTTCTGCGCTGCCTTTCGAAATTGCGAAGAAGACTTTTATCTTTTGACAATTTTACATGGAATTTCACACATTTCTTTTCARATAATGGATAAAAACACTTAAAAGGAAACAGATCAGACTCAGCAATGTCCGCTAAAGGGTAAGGASAGTTTGCTAAGTTCATAAGTCCAGACTGTTTGTTTTAGAATGTCGTGAGCTGATGTCTTTTTCAGGGCAACTCGKGTAGTGTAAATTATCTTATTGTTCTATTTTAATCTTAGGAACGAACTTCGTAAGCTCAGCGAAGAGAGCCTTACACGACCACCTGAGGAAGTCTTCGATGTTTTGGACAAGCTTGGAGAAGGGTAAGATCTCTGTCATTCAAACGTAATCCATTTGGGTGTGAGTAAGCTTACGAGACAGAAACATGTATTTAATACCTCACTAAATACCTACATTCTTTCGCTTTAGGCATTTCATTTTCCTACGGACAATAATTGAAATGTTTTRTTGATATTTGAAGGTCCTATGGGTCTGTTTAYAAAGCAATGCATAAGGAAAGCGGGCAGGTACTRGCCATAAARCAAGTCCCAGTAGAYACGGACCTCCAGGAAATAATCAAGGAAATCAGCATCATGCAGCARTGCGATAGGTAAAACTATCCAGCTATTTAACGAATATTCTTATCTTAATCATTRAGCATTATACATACATCAAAAAACTACCTAACATGTAGACTTTTGATTGACAAATAGAACAAGATTAACTATTATATTCACAATTGAATGCGAAATTAATATTTAATTTGAAAATACGTACACAGTAGTATTATGATTCTTTCAAATATTTTATAAAAATGTCCACAATTAATTGTTGTAGCTATTTATACCTTTAACGATGTATAGAATTAAAAATTCTGACTTAGTGACAAGTGTAGTTTACAATGTATTGACTGGTAGTAATTTCTTGGTATTGTATATTTTGTAATACACSTTTAGTAGTCTTGTGGCTTGTTTTTGTRTGAATCTTTGACCATTGTGATATTRTAATTAAAGTCTGACAAGCTGCGCAGCACTGACGCATGAGCAGGTTTAAAGAAAACTCYATAGATATGCTAAGTGTGCTGTTCAACTCCAGTGCTRTTACTATCAAATAGCACAATTAAACATTATGTCATTTATTTTMTGATGGATAAATCAAATAGCGTACACTCTATTTTAAAAAACAAAGAAAAATTCAAATCGTAAAAATTGTCCTTGTTTGAAAAACACTTTCACTAGTCTGTATACATCCGTTTCTCACCCCTTGAAAAAATCTCCCCGATTTTTTTGTAGGGTTGAGAAATGGATATACACATGCTACACTTTTACTAGAAAGGAAATTTAAACAMTTTTCTGATTTTGCTTCAACTCTTTTCTAGTCCTTATGTTGTAAAGTATTATGGCAGCTATTTCAAGAATACGGATTTATGGGTAAATATCCCAGTATCATGAAGCAATAGATGATGAAAGGTGATGAAAATAATGATTAATGGTTGTCCAATTCACAGATTGTCATGGAATACTGTGGTGCTGGWTCTGTGTCAGATCTTATGAAACTGAGRATWAAAACAGTAAGTAATGCTTGGGATTCCTGTGGTTACAAAGTGCAAAATATTTCCCTGYAGGGGTGGCAAAAGTCCATGACAGGAAACTCACYCAGTCATTCATAGCTAATATTAAGATTTCACATTAACTTAAACTTGTAGTACATCCCCCTACCCCTACCCCCTGAAAAAAATATTAGACTTTATTTGTAAAAGTTATCTGTATTCTCTTGTAGTTGACGGAAGATGAAATCAAATGCGTTATGAAATACACTCTCAAAGGACTTGAATATTTACATCTTAGAAGAAAAATACACAGGTAACTACATCCAGTAATTTTATTACATTTGAAACCAAAGAAAGCAAGCAATCAAACACTGATGTCTATTTTCAACTTACAGGGATATCAAGGCAGGAAATATTTTACTCAACACTGAAGGTCATGCAAAACTTGCTGATTTTGGTGTYGCTGGACAATTAACAGTATGTTTATTAAAATATTCAGGATTCTGATAATCCATTATGTCAATGTTGTGTGAATTCCTACAATTCTTATGTTAATACAAATATGCTTTCTTTGCTTAGTGACTCCTTAGAATTGTTTTCTATCCTTTCATTTTTGACCCATCGTTTTTTCCACTTCTCATTTCAATCCTTCATTCATAAGACTGCAAAGTTTCAATAAGCAGTTTATCTATCTGTGTCCTTCATGTCTTTACCTTCTGGGCTGGGTTGTCCAAATCTTGATTACCGCTAATCCTGGATGAACACTTAGAAAACCTATGGAGTTAACCCCGGATTAACACTAATCAGACTCTGGACAACCCAGGTATTCACTCATAAATGAATGCACACCGAGTAAGTATGGTTGCAACCTATAAGAGAAGTTCCAAAAGGGCATATCAGGGATAAAGGAGTTTTTTGAATTTGTCCATTATGCCATATTTATCCCCTTCAGGAACCATCAGAGTTATCAGTTATCTGTTAATAATATTTTACTATTATCCTAATACTATTAGGATACCATGGCCAAGAGGAATACAGTAATAGGAACGCCATTCTGGATGGCACCAGAGGTAATCCAGGAAGTTGGTTATGATTGCCTGGCTGATATCTGGTCACTAGGGATCACTGCTATTGAAATGGCTGAAGGGAAACCTCCTTACGCTGATATACACCCTATGAGAGTAAGTTGCCGTGGATACAGTTATCTAAAAGTTGCTATGGATACAGTTATCTAAAAGTTGCCATGGATACAGTTATCTAAGTGGAAAGGCTGTTGGACACCAAAACATGCACATTTTTATAAGAAACAGGAGGTTTCAGCTGTGCAAAGAGTGATGAGTATCACTATTCACTCTTTGTACTATAGCTCCAGGTGGCTTATATACTCTGGTCACAAAACTAGCACCTGGAGTATGGACTTTGTACCCTCTCAGCCAGACCAATCCCTAGTTTTATTTCAAGGCTGTTACATGTAATGAATACAAAACAGGACTTCCTTGTTTCTGTCCTTCTTACCTAACACCAGACAAAACTACATTATTCTCTCTGAGATTAAAAAAAAACTTGATAAAACATTATACTAAAGGAGAGATAGGGGCTTTCTTTTAACTTTGAATTTACAATGTTATTGTTTCTGTTCATCAGGCAATATTTATGATTCCCACAAAACCACCTCCAACATTCAAAGAACCTGAGAAATGGTCAGCAGACTTCAAAGACTTTGTAGCTAAATGTTTAGTTAAAAACCCTGAAGAAAGGGCAACTGCTTCCCAGTTATTACAGGTTTGTGTATAATTGAACATAATTTACCTAATTATTCTTATCAAGTGCATTCCTGGTCTGACTTTTGACCTGCTCCATGACTTGCAAGGAAAGATAGTCCAGTAAATCTTGCATACGCATGCCAGCCCAGTGACCTAGTAATCACCACTTTGATGTCATAATCATATGGTTGCAATGCTTGTGCAATTTAACTAGATGTCCGAAAGACTGATGGAATGGCATTTCCATCCATGTTTTATTTTCTACTGGCTGAGGAACGAAAAGAGTGAAAAATTTTTTCTCTCACACCATGGGAGCCTGGGCCGAGAGGCCTTGATCACGTGGGCAGGGTTTTAGTTCAGTTGCTTTTTCGCTGTCTGCCATCAACTAAGTTTTTCTGCTGTTGGTGGTAGTCAGCTAGACAATAAGCCAAAGTCTGTTGGCGGTAGTCAGCTAGACAATAAGCCAAAGTCTGTTGGCGGTAGTCAGCTAGACAATAAGCCAAAGTCTGTTGGCGGTAGTCAGCTAGACAATAAGCTCCCACTGGTATGTGAGAATAAGAATTATCAAAAAAGGCACAACACAAGGCACTACATGTATAAATTTATATCAAACATAGTTACATTGATTCATTGTTTTGTTTCATTTAGCATCCGTTTATTCAGTCTGCAAAGAATACAAATGTTCTTCTAAACATGGTGCAGGAAGCACTTACTATAATGGCTGAAGAAAGCAGTAGAGCAGATGCAAATGAGGTAACTTATCAACTAGAATTCCAATTATAATCATTATCCAAGAGAACATAATGCAGTGTGTGCATGTACATGCATATAGTAAAAAAATATGAATTATTAGTGAATTTGATTGATGATGATAAAATTTGTTCCTTTTCCTTCTGTACAGATACATGTAAGATATTATTAATTGATATTATTTCATTGTTTTTTTAATGCAACAAGGAGGAGGAAATAGAACCATATGAAGAAGTTGATTCAAGTACTTTAATAAAGGTGAATAGTAATGCTGGTGATACAATGGACAGCASTACAACAGGTCAAGGGACAATGATAGTCAATTCTGAGGATACAATGAATAGTAGTACCACAGACCAGGGCACCATGATAGTTAATAGTGAAACTGGAACATTATTGGAGTCTGATCTAGGAACAATGGTTATAAATAGTGATACAGATGACGACTCTACAATGAAAAGTATGTATAACAGACCTGTAGCTGCTATTTTATTCAAAGAAATATATTGTTAACAAAATTTTCTGCTGCTTTGATAGCCTATCTAGAATGTCAAAGACAAAAAACCTCCATCTGCCGCTTTGCTGCATCTCATGTTTTAGTTTTCCTTTTTTTACCTCTCCTCTCCAGCAACACATACATGTACCCTGTTCCTAGAGGTTCGACAAAAACAAATAACAAAGGAGTCATAACAAAAAGCAAAAAAAAATCGAACCTCTGGGACCACGGTTAAGTAACATACTGTCACTTATTGTACCAGTGTCACATATACAACATTGAATAAGATTGCCAATCAAGGAGTTTTTTTTATTTGGTCTTTTGCACATGGAAGCCACCAATCAGTGCTATGCAGAATGAGATCAACAGTACAAAAAATTAAAGTAATCCTCCCCTGCAGATAGTTGTTTGTAGTTTGGGAGAAACTGGAGTTAAGGGGGCTTTCATTTATTAGCTCATGGGGGGAGGTCGGCTCAATTCAGGGGGGAGGAGTTTGATGATTTAGGACATCGTTGTTGTGTTGGTCCCCTTTTTTGAAGAGATAATATAACACCTTTTTCAATCTTATTAACTGATATTTTTATCTTTCTGTAGGACTAGACTCTGATGCCAAGCAAGATTACCGTCCATCCTTCATGGATCATTTTGATAAAATATTTGAGGGTGGACAAGGCAGTGGTGGTAATAGTGGAAGTGGGTCAGGACAAWCTAATGGACCTGAACCAGAAACTACAGTTGTTAAAGGATACATAGATCCCTTTAGAATAAAAAAGGCTGGGCCGCCTGACTTCGCCTTTGTAAGTTATAGTAAACTACATGTGATGTTGTTGTTGTACGTTGTCAAGTGGCAGAAACGTAATATTGTTGTAGCTTACACCAAAGGGGATTTTTTTGACTGAGAAATATTTTGTTAAACAATGCATAATATTTAAATAAGATCATCAGTCTTGATAAAGGCTCGGTGAACCAGAAGCTCGACTAAGTAAATAAACATTTTAGGTTGAAGTGACATTTAAATCATTATTCATAATATTTCAGTTAAACATTGAATTATACCATTACTTGTAGAGAAGCTCATTTTATTCAGTTTATTTATACAGAGTTTATTTATAATAGCAAATAATTTCAATAAATCCTAAAATAGTTCAATAAATCTTACAGCTTAAAGGCTCAAGCTTTGAGGAACTCATGCGAAGGATGCAGTCACTCGATGTAGAAATGGAAAGAGAAATTGAGGAACTGCGAGTRCGATATCAAAGCAAAAGACAACCTATYCTGGAYGCCATGGAAGCGAAGAAAAGACGACAACAGAACTTTTAACAGAAAAAATGACAAGTAAAAAAGTTTACTGATAGTTTTGATTATTGAAGTATTATGGTAACATAAAGGTAATCTTGTACCCAGAACCAAAATTACATTATAAGCTCTGTAACAAATAATGAGACAAACTAAGACAATAGTCTCTATCATGGGTTCCCTGTGCCATCCTTGAAAGGCAGTCATGCCTTTAGAGCCGATTTCATATGATTGTGCAAAAAATACTGCATCTTAGTGCCGTGTCTGTACCATGCCGTGACGGTGATGTATTCTTGATTTCTTATTTTTATTTGGGTCACTCAGGTGAGGTTTCATGCTGCGCCGTGTCCGTGTTGTGATCTGTGCCGTTGCACAGTCATACGAAATCTGCTCTATACTTTTGAAGTGAAGTCAGTCAAGCCATGAGCATGCTATGATACCTGTGAATAATTTGTCTMTTGGTGTGAAAAGGTTTTTATCATTGTTTGCTCACTGGTCATCTTTCTTTGATGCAGAGGACATTGCTTACCATTCATACTGGTGTAGAGATCATGCAACTGTTGCAAGAAATAATTTTTTGAAGTCAAACCCTTAGTAGTGCAAAATAATGACTTRCCTCTTCTAGTTCAAGTTCCACTCTTCTTTTCACTCTTCTCTCGTACTAGATGATTGTACTTGGGTTGTGGGTGCATGGTTCATCAAATTTCCATTGCTTTTGTTTAAAACTGTTGAATCTTGACTTGCACTAGTCTCTTTAACAGCCTCCCTTTTTGGGCTTCCTGTCCCTCTCAAAAGAGAGACAGGAAGGAGGGATAGGAAGCCCAACAAAAGGGGGTGGGGCTGCGAAGGAGACTAGACTTACACATAATGTGTTTTCATTGTGTCATGTTGTGTTGCTTTGAAGCTCTCTTGTTTTCAAAATCTAAATATAGTTTTTTCATATACTAAGATGTATGTTAAATGTAACTAAGTTTAAATTTCATAGACAAATAATGTTGATAACAAAACCTAAGAGATAATTATTATAATTACAAATATATCCAAGGAAGCATACAAGATTGAATTTTTGGTACAGATTTGATTTTACCTGTCGATTCATGGATTCAAACAAACAATTGTCTCCTTCACAGTTGCCTTCTTCATCGTTTTAGCCAGCCATGTTATGTACAYAGGAAGCAAGCTAGACAACCGTTGAGCATRCAGAGATAGAMATAAATMATTATCYRTAGGTATCTATCATTGCAGCTTGCAAGTCGTCTYTACCAATTATTCATTTTGCTATGTTCCCATGAWWAWAYARGACACTGTGCTAATCATGGCATATTTTGGTTTGATAACAAATTTTCATATAAAAAAGCTTTGAAGTCTGACGTGAAGAAAGTTATTGGGTTTCATGGAGTAAAATAATGTGTACACAGCAAGCCCAAACATTTAAACAGATAATATGTTTATGTAAATATATATTGAATTAACTTCCTAGTAGCATGCTTGTGAATTTTGCCTGAGAAGTTGAACAAAGGAATCAAGACGAGGTGCTGCGCATAAAGCCCAGTCACTATCACTGGAAAAAACGCACGCTTTAAGGTTGTAAATTTGATGTAAATATGATGTAAGTGTCCAAAATTCTGTAAATTTGATGTAAATGATTTCCATTAAATTTACAGAATTTTGGACAATTACATCATATTTACATCAAATTTACAACCTTTAAAGCGCGCGATTTTTTCCAGTGTATTGAAAAACTATTTTCATCGGAATGACTGAGATTCTTGCAGGGCGCCCTGTCGTAATACCTTTGTGTGCAACTATACTGAGGTAAAATTCACTGGTTATTGTTTTTAATTGTAGTGATTTTGAATACACTCGAAGGCGATTAAAAAGAGATATTAGATAATAACTGGGARGGGTAAACCTTTCTTAATGTAATACCAATCTCAATGATCCACTTACAATATTCTGGTTGATTAACCAGCCATTAAAGAACTGAATATGAAGCTTTAGGGAAACAGAAAGGTTACCTATATTTTCCCAGGAGCCTCGTCTTCAATTTCTAATGTTGCACAACAGTGCCCTGTGAAAACCGCTCTAATTCTTCATGGTCATAGTTTTTGGTATTGCAGTGTTAGAATATATAGATCGCCTAACTGTTTTTGTGCTTGCATATATTAATATCAAGACTTCATACTTGGTATAATAGAAAGATTATATAACACTCAAGGTATACATGATATCCTTCAATTTCTTGACCTTAACATTTAAAGTTTAGCCCCACATCCAACGTTAATAAAAATGAGTTTCTTTTGATA